TTTTCGTGGTGGGGTTAACGAAAACTACTGGCCTGACCGGGCATGCAATAAAAACAATGTTAATATATTATTAATATTCTGAGGTGGCAAATTGGAGGGAACTTACTTGGAGCAAACAATGTGTGTTATAACATCCCTGTGCATGTAACTTCTCTCATACATGGAGGCAGAGGGTAAATTGTCCAGGTACAATCTTTCATACTCAAGAACTGCAGCAGAAGACATATGATCCATTAATAAAACAGTTATCTCAGTCTAAACCAAACAGCACGATGCTATGAACACAGAAGACATGCAATATTTGATAGAAACGGCTAACTGTAAGCTAAACTTCATTAGCTTACAATCTAGGCATATTATAAGTAACTATAATGCCCACAAACGTTGTCTAGGGTTCTAGTTAGGCAGCTCACTAGGTTTAGAGACACAGTCATAGACTCTTCCGGGTTTTTGCAGCATAAAATCAAGAAAGTACCTTTCTTCTTTTTTGTTTGTGTGGCCTCACTGGGCAGCGGCCCGACCCATCCGCCTTCATCTTCATCTAGTTTGCGTTTATTTTCAGAACCATCACGGCTCACGTCGGACGCCATTTTCAAATTAAAGTTTATATTTCTTCTTCGATGGTGGTTTTAACGCAACCAACTGCTCTCCTACCACACACCGCCGATTACAGGATGGGAGATGAACTTCAGTTAGCAGGCACTCGACCAAAATAAAGAGCATTCTCCTCGAAAACATTATTTTCTTCATTTACGGTAAAAAATGGTAAATTCTTGTCATACTGTACAACAGAAAGTGCTGAATCCTGTTATATTTAACGCTGCTCATTTGTTGAGTGGTAAATTTATGTTGTAACACAGGACATTTTTGTAAGGGTTAACATGAAGCAACATACTGACACAGCGAGTGATGTAGGCTGACAAATGAACACACATTTTATAGAAGTTTATGTATAAAGTGCAAAGTATTGAAATTTGAAAATTAAAATGTGTAAATCTCTTTTACAGCATGCCTAAGTGTGTCTCATCAGGTAATCAAAAGTTCTACACACTTGCAGTCTTCACACCAACAAATGAAAAGACCGTCCATAGAAAGGAATACTACATTATAAATTTAATTTAAATTTTTAACTTTAACTTTAAATGCATACGACATTATACACTTAACATATTTACTTGATTACCCAATGGCTGGAAGGTTTTTTCTTCTTCTGTGTTTATATATTATTGCTTATTAATTTGACATTTCTTACATTTCAAATTACTACAACATATTTAGACAGATTGTCAATGGTCTGAAACCCTCTCCGTTTCCCGATTATTTGTACATACACTAGAATTGAATAGCTTGGAAATGGATCTACAACAATTTCCGGACTCATAACCCTCAACAACTTTCCATGTGAGGGTTCACAATTTATTGGTTCCAGACGTTACTGAGTTTCTGCTGCTATAGCCTCACACAACTCATCAATGCTTAAATTATATTCATACCTGGCAATGTGAAATTGCTTTATTTTGCATTTGCAAAGTACTTCATTATTATTTGTGTATATGATATTTAAATTATTAGCATGTAAACTATCAACATACAAAGAATGATTATGAGAATATATATATATATATATATATATAGGGTTACACTTTATTTTAAGGTGTCCTTGTTACAGTGTAATTATACATTTCAGCACTGAGTAATATTAATTAACTAGGGCTACTAACTATATGGTTAGGGTTAGGATTAGGGCTTGGCTTAGGGTTACTTGCAAGTAATTATGCATAATTTATTACTATAATAAGTAGCCTACATGTAACGTGTAACAAGGACACCTTAAAATAAAGCGTGTTTTCCAGTTTTGTATTTGTTTTGTATGTGATCTGTGGCAGTAAATCAGTGCACTGTCACATAGTCACCTCAGGGTGTCGCTGCAAGCTAAGCGGCAATCCTCAATCAGCGAACAAACATCTAGCGCGGCTAAACGCATATGAAATACCACTTTCATAACACTGGACGATATTTTATTTTTAGACTACATTCTATTTTTATTTGATAGATAACGACATTTACAAACTCTTATTTTCTATTCTGTTGTTGATTTACTGTCTGTGCCACTGTTACATGTCACATGAAACACCTGCGCTTCAGTTAAGCATATAAAAATATGGTTAAAAAATAAATCATAATATACACTTATATACAAAACAACGTCGATGGTAAAAAAAAAAAAGAAAAAAAAAGGAAATAGACTTGACTTTACAAAACTGACAGTCTAACTAATCGACACTCGTTTATCGTTTATACTCGTATATAATTGTATTTTATTTATTTATTTTTTTGGGGGGGGGGGGGGGTATTGACATTTATTGTGAAAATAATGTCAAAATAAATTTCTTTTCAATCGCATATGACTCTAAATAGGACTTTAACTTGTTACGTGCCTCGGACAATCTGAATGTTAAGCATAAAGATGGTTGTTAATCGTTTATTTAGGGTTTGTGTTGTTACCTGCTTCACCTGACGAGCAGACGCGCGCGCCCCGGCAGGCACATCTGCAATGACGTCATGCCGAACCTCCCGGCGGTGTTGGAGTTTGAGTGCTGCCTCAAATCCGGCTTCAGTATTAAAGGCTGCAAGCCTCTGATCAGCGCTGCTGTCCTGCAAGCGCACCGATGTGCGTTACTGTTATTATTCATCTCTGGTGAATCAAAGAGCACGAGACCAAACAATAAGCCATCACACACGCTGGAAACAGTTAAACATGAGCTGATTACACAAACTTATTCAACAACTTTTTCATATTTTGGAGTTTTTTCCCCCTGCATTGCTGATGAAGTGAGTTCATGAGGAGATTTTTTTTTTTGTTCCTGTACAAGGACACAACTACATTTGTTGGCATGAGAATGGCTTGAAGCGAAACGAGAGATTTGCTGAAGAACGCACTGAAGTGGAATCAAATGAAGATTTCTACTGTCTGCGTGTGTTCTACAATAAAAGATGAAGACGGTAACTATCATTTCTTACGGTCTTTCAGACAGGAAGGATAGTCTGGGCATTCCCAGTGGAGTTTGCACAGAAGATATCAATGCATGTCAATATAACGGAGTCTGGTTTTAATAGTAGCCTGATCCTTTGTGACGGCTTTATCTCAGACGACAACATTAATGAAAGATACTAAATACAAAAAGAAAAAGAGTCCCTTGGTGCACATTGGTAGTCTTCTCATTGGTCTTGTGTGTTTTTATTTCAGCGGTCAGTGTAATAGTATTGGGCAGTTGCCATCTGTCTGGGTCAGACACGTTTTAGACTCGAGCTGCTGTCTGGAAGAAGCCGTTTTATTAAACTCATGAATGTTCGTCTGCACAGTTACCGCTTCAGCTTCTGCTGCGATAGTAAGAAACACATGCGAAAGGAGCTGACATATAGGATATATCTGTTGGAACTGGACGACTCTTAGGCTGGAGGTTCTAGCATTTGATTTGATGTTCATCCGGTGAGTTACTTCTAAAGTTGCCTTTACTGTCACATAGAGCACTATACATTGAGTCTAGCAACGGTACTGTAACTCAGTCCTGATTCATAGATAGATAGATAGATAGATAGACAAAAGTTTGTAAGTGATCAGAAGGAAGACTGTCCATTGTATTGATTTTTGCTTTTGAATTGATACAGTCTTGCTTTCAATTATTATTGTGGCACTATGCATTCAAGATAGATAACTATAACTTTCTTCTGTGGAAGATAAAAGATGAAGTTTTGGAAAAAATTTTGTCCATGCAATTTTTGTTAGTTTTGTTAGTTGTCACCAAAACTATTTGGCTACCAGTTTTCTTCTTTTGAGAAATGCACACAGGTGGATTAGTACACGATGACAGAAGTGTTATCCATTTAAAACACACTTAAAAGTGTATGAACACATTGCAGCATGTAATATCAAACCAAGTCTCATTTTGTGTGAAGTGTCACTTTGTGTGTTTTTATATAACAAATCAATTGAAATATACTGTTCAAAATGAAGAGAAAAATAATTTGATGTCAAACGTTAGTGGATTAAGTTCTGCACCTGTGTTACACTGATAGGACACCTGTGCAAACTTGAGGAGAACTGACTTCATACATCCACCAAAAACCATCTAGAGACCAGCTGGTAGTGCTGCAAAACTGCAAATGCAAGGCTGTAACTGCAAAAGAATGGCTCAGAGAAGTTATGTTTGTTCTGAGAGGAGCTGCAGTAGCATTTGAATGCAAATGACACTTGATTTCATGCTTTGTACATTAAATAAATGCTTGTTGATTTCATTCACACATCAAGAATTTGGAAAAGTTGTAATTGGCTGGTGAAGCTTCAGTCTGATCAGCCACCAGTCAAGTTATTTGCAACAGGTTTTTGCAGCATGGATTCATGCCTTGAGTCGGAAACAGGCAGGGCAGCTAATAGTCAAGTGCAGGTGTGAAAATGATAACCTGAAGTTACAGCATCCCACTCAACACCTATGAGCTCAGCGTTATGTGTGTGCGTGTGGGATCAAACCGGTTCAAGTCCAGATGTTACAGCTATGGAATTGCAATCTGCTCCCGATGTTTGATAAGACAAAGCATGCTTAGTATTTGCAGTTAAAGAGCTATGTTCAGTCAAAATCCATTTTAAGATCACAAACTGATAATTTTCCCCTGACAAGTTTCCCCCCTACTTTCATTCATTTCCAGGCAAACAAATGGATCGTTTGGGACAAGCTCCTAATATAGATCTGCTGTTTTGGAATAACATGAAGAGAATTCATATGGATTCTTGCCCTGCTCATGGCTGACAAAGGTGCAGGATCCAGTCACCTTTAGGAAGTCCTTTAAACCTGGGATTAAGTGTGGACTGAGATTCAAATGTGTCGAGGATGCTTGTCACGGATATGTTATGGTGCGAAGCTGGATTGATCATATCGCTTTAATCCTCTTGTAGCCTCCTCCAATCCCCCTACCCCCACCCCATGTCAGATCTTCCCTAAATTATGGAAATTTTTTGGAAGACGCTGACTTGGATATTTAGCCTGGTCTTGGCCGCTGCTGAAGCTCAGATCCTTTCATACAACTCTCAAGGTAGGTTTAATAACGTGGGGACAAAAACATATAGTGATGACTGTAGCTAACAGCTGATGTCATAGCAGCAAGCCATAACTCATTTCTGCTTACATGTCATTAAGACACTTTCAGCTCTACCCAGAGGAAACCTTTTATTGCTCAGTTATGTTTCATGTAAGTGTCAAGCTCATCTCAGATGCTTCTTCTTAGGAGAAATAAACAGATGAACAAATGAGCCAATTATTGGCATAAAGCAAGAGTACAGAGCTATAAAATAAATGTGGGTAGCATAACTCAGATGATTTGAGCTTGGGGAAAAAAATGATGAGAAACGCTGGAGTTCATTTTGAGATCTCTGGCTTTTCTCTGGCAGACTTGAGCACAGTGTGAGATGTTTTTGAGATCTCCACTGAAACGCTGTTGGAGAAAAATCAGAGCAGCAGACTTACTGATGTCTACGCCTAGGAGAAACAATTGAGACATTAAAGAGATCTTTACTAAAGAAAAAAGATTACAAAAGATCTCTTTAATATCTCAATCGTGTCTCCTAGATATTAGTGAGACTAAATAGAGAGAAAAAATGAGATTGTTGCTTGTCTCTTCTGCTTCTGATTTTTCTCCTTGAGGAAAAAAAAAGTAATCTTGTGTGTTTCCACCGGATTCCAAAAGAGATCTCAACAATGTCTCAAACTGTGCTCAAGTTTGCCAGTCCAGTGGAAAAAATTTATTGCTTTTGCAGAAGATGGTACAGAACCCTGTACATGGCATGCAGGAAAAAAATAGTAGGCTAAATCGTGCGCACGTTTTTCAGTAGCACTTTACTACGGAGCCCCGCACATGGCATGCAGGAAAAAAATTGTAGGCTAAATCGTGCGCACGATTTACTATTTAATTCCCTCGATTTATAAATTGTGCACACAATTTACTAATTTGTTCCCTCCATTTGCTAAGTTGTGCACACGATTTATAAATCGAGAGAACGAATTAGTAAATTGTGCGCACGATTTAGCAAATCAAGGGAACGAATTAGCAAATCGAGGGAACGAAATAGTAATCGTGTGCACGTTTTAGTACATCGAGGGAACGAATTAGTATTTTTTGAAGTTTTTGATTTTATTTATTTATTTTTTCTTGCATGTCATGTAAGATGGTGATCTCAGTTATGCTTCCTTTTAAGTATCACCATTGTTGCTCCTGAAAAACCTTAAGAGAAACCGTAAGACTTCTGACTTTAACTATCAAATCTGCGATTTATAAATTGTGCACACAATTTACTAATTTGTTCCCTCCATTTGCTAAGTTGTGCACACGATTTATAAATCGAGAGAACGAATTAGTAAATTGTGCGCACGATTTAGCAAATCAAGGGAACGAATTAGCAAATCGAGGGAACGAAATAGTAATCGTGTGCACGTTTTAGTACATCGAGGGAACGAATTAGTATTTTTTGAAGTTTTTGATTTTATTTATTTATTTTTTCTTGCATGTCATGTGCGGGGCTCCGTAAGATGGTGATCTCAGTTATGCTTCCTTTTAAGTATCACCATTGTTGCTCCTGAAAAACCTTAAGAGAAACCTTAAGACTTCTGACTTTAACTATCAAATCTGTCCATATTTTGAGACATTGGTTTTGATCTACTCTGAAACATCAAGAGGAGACACATTTAAAATTACTGGGAGAGAAATCCGAGAAACAGAAGTGTAACACAGAAGTCTCAATGTGCTCCCTTTAAATGTTACTGCTGTGAAGGAGAAACAATGGAGGATTCTACAGGATTAAACGTAGAAGTTTCTACAGGATTAAACGTAACTGAAACTTTTCTAAGCTGCGAAAGAGCAATCTCTGAGCATTTGATCTTTCCTCTGAGCACACCTGCCACTTACATTGCTGAAATAGCTGATTTTTGGTTTCCCATGATTACCCTCTCCTTTGTTTTGCTCACTGTTATCTCCTTCACTTTATTCCCCAAAACACAAAGCGGAATTCCTGTCCACGCTGGAGCACTATCAGCTAACAGTACCAGTGCGGGTAAATGAGAGGGGCCAGTTCATGAGTTACACTGTGAAGCATTACAGGCCTGGTCGGCGGCGACGTGGACTGGACCAGGCTGAGCTGGACCACACTGAGACCAGGCTTTTTTACAAACTCTCAGCCTACGGCAAGCACTTTCACCTGAACCTGACACTCAACCCCATCCTGGTTTCTAAACATTTCACGGTAGAGTACTGGGGCAAAGACGGACTAGACTGGCAGCATTCAGTGGTCGATAACTGCCACTATGTTGGATACCTACTGGATCAATATAGCACTACAAAAGTGGCATTGAGCAACTGCAAAGGCTTGGTGAGTACATCCGTCTTTGAAAATCTTCATGCTTTTGGGTGTATGAGAGGGTAAGTAACATTTGCTATCTTTAGATGTACCAAAAGAGCCTTCTGATTTGTCCGGAATTTGTAATATTTGTAGCAAGCTGTTTTTCTCCAAAATACCTCAGGAAAAGCACACTGTTTTCTGCATAAAAGAACAGATTGGAAATTGCACATTCAGGCAGGGATATGAAAGCATGCTGGCCAACGACATATGGAATATGCATTGCATTTTATTGCCCACATATCTAAAGATCTTCAGCTGAAGTGTTTACTTCCTCAGAGGGCCACATACTTGCTGACTTAGCCTTCTTTATGTGACTGATACGCTGTCCTTACTGTGGATGATTATTTCTAAACCACGTGCATTGTTGCGGAGATGTGCTATTACTTTTAGCCATCAAACTTTTAATCTTCACCTGGCAAAGAAATAGGTGAAGAAGGGACCCAAGCAGTGTCTATGGACTAGAATATCATAGAGACTTGGGTGGGCTCTTTTGAATTGGGCTAGTGAGCAACCAGCTACCAACCACCCAGAACACACAGTTTAGAATTAGTGCTGTCAATCGATTAAAAAAAAAGTTTCTGAAATTAATCACGATTAATCCCACCCAACATTAGTTTTTAAATATACTTTTATATTGCAATAATTTCACATTCTGTCTTTCAAATTAACGTAGAAACAACATAAAGACAGTATATGTTTAATGGCATCTTTTTTATGACTAAAGGTGAGTATTACTGAGACCAATACTACTGATGTTACTAGGAAATTGTTCTTTTTCCCAATTATTTAACTATTGACTATACATTGACTATACACATCAACTGTTGGCTATTATTTTAACATTTATTAGTTAAACAATAACAACTTCTAATTTAAGTAAACTTAAAGCAATACTCGCATAAACCTATTATAATAAATGTCATATTTACCTGTGCCCTTCAGCAGGTAGGAAATACATAGAAATTGAATAAAGTTATCAAACACTAAATTCTAAATTAAATGTAGAGGAATCCTTAAAGCTACAAAAGTTATTGATTTCCTCCTTTTCCTTTTGTTCCTTGATTAACAGACATCACAGCAGCTGGGTTATTAGGTTATTTGGCTGCTATTACTTTAAGAGCTGCCGCTGTTGAAAGTGACATGAATATGACACACATGCTCGTTGTTTCATTCGCACTTTAATATGAAATGATACAGGCTACAGTGTGCGCCGTCATATTTGTGCATGCAATTGAAGAGCACGTGCTACGAGCACAGTATAACAGGACAGGACAGGACAGGACGAAAGGACAGGAAGATTAATTTTTACTGATATATGGCCTGACAAAATCTCATCTGACCGCATGCGGTTCGCTGTTGTTCTACTGAAGCTCCTCTTCACCTGTACCATTTCTGCGCGCATTTGACTAGTGCCTGGTGCTGAGGGGAAGTGGAGTGCGCGTCTGAAAAGTCTCCTGTTTGATGTGGTCGTAAAGACATTCTGCGTCTAAATAAACGCAATTCTTGTCAAGAAAAAATAGACAGAAGCAGCAGTTGTGGTGAGTGGGGTGGCCAACCCTTGCTCCGCCCCTGCGAAATAATGTGTTTTTTGAACATTAAAGCATGTCAACATATTCTGTTACACCAAATACACAAAATAATGATCTTTAAAAAAGCATCATATGACCCCTTTAAATATTTTTAATGCCGTTAAACTGGAAAAATTAATGCCTGCATTAACATGCTCATTTTGACAGCACTATTTAGAATACATGGCAAAATTCCAAAAGTTCAGGTGTCCTGAACACTGCTATTGGTTGGACAAACAGATAGTCCTGTCCCCAACTCACGCTATTGGTTGAATCAGTGTTGCTATGCTGGGAAGCTCAAACAAGTAGAGCAATGTTTTGATAACATCAAATTGTTTACACTTTTTGGGAAAGTCAACCAAATGTTGACTACAAATCCTTATAGTTGTCGGTGCATTTTAAGCTCAGATAGGTGAAAGGATTTTAACAATGAAAAGTGTCCATATCAATGTCTTGCTCAGCAGTTTAACAGCAGAGCTTCAGGCATTGTCCAGAATGAGTCAGCATGTCTACATCACATTAATAAAGCTTAGGCAGCTTCAAGAAACTTATGCCTCATGTGCGACTAACACGAGAGAGAGAGAGAGAGAGAGAGAGGGAGAGAGAGCTTAAAGCGCCTCGTCTGTTTTGCTGTTCTTATCTATGTCCCTGTCTCTGTGTACACGGCTGCTTCTGCTCACTGTTAAAGTGACTGCTGAGTGACAGCAAAATATTAGCTTAGCTGTCTCTCCGCATCGGGCTTGAATCCCTCCTGCACCTGCAAGCCCTTTGCCAGCTGATTCCTATCTCACGCTGAGCATTTCATCTGGTGGGGACTTTGATGTTGCTTAACTAAACCGCACTCCACACGGTTGCTGTGAAACGTGGCTTCCTGTGATGCAATGCGATTATCGAAATGTTAGATCACGGCTCTAGCTAGCATAAACTAGCGTGACCCTGCAAATTTCCTTGACAACTCACTTCTGTAACTTTACTGCAGAAAGAATGAATTCATTGTTTTGAGGTCTTGCAGGACATTTAGCATTTGTGAATGTAACAAAGTTCGTAGTTCGGGAAGAAGGATGCGGGAACCGGCGAACATTCAAACATAATTTTAATAATAAAATAAACACAAAATACCGCCCCTCTCGTCACATACCCCCATTGCCCCTCGCAGGCCGGGGGGTACTCCCGAGACTGCGCTCTACTCCGGGGGAGCCGATCACGGTGGCCGCGGCTGCCTGGGTGTAAGGACAGACAGACGAGGCGAGAGAAAAGGAGATGGAAGGATGAGGAGAGACAGAGACGAGAGAGGGGAGAGAGGGAAAAAAATAATTCTTGTTCCGGTTCCCAGACACACTGCCGCTCGGCCCTCCACCAACTGGGTAAACTCTTCCGTGATGCCTGGCGGTGGCACTGGATAGCCCTCGGTGGACGGCCTCCGGGTTCGGGCAGCCGGCAGGAGTCCACCGTTCCCTGCTCCTGGCAGCGTGTCCCTCCTTCCTTCCGGGTTTCGGCACCAATGTAACACAGTTCGTATTTTGGGAAGAAGGAGGCAGGAACCGGCAAACATTCAAACATAATTTTAATAATAAAATAAATGCAAAATACCGCGACAGCCCCTCACGGACGACTGCCGCGCACAAACAGAACCAAAACACTAAATAAAATCCAGGCCTGGTCCTCTCTCGTCTTGCACTGTCGTCACTCCTCCTTTTATCCTTCCGGAGCTCCTCCGTGGGACTCGAGACTCCTCCGTTCCCACGGCTCTCGGCCCCGCCCCACTCGTCACAGTGAACAATTCGGTTGAACGCTGCTATGTGATAAATATATATATGAGACATTTTTCCAAATACCCCAGAAGAAACAGTCATACAGGTTTGGAACAATTTGACTAAATTGTGAACTATTCCCTTGAAATAGCTTTAGCGTAGTTACATTTAACTACTTTTCCAAATGCTTGACTGTCGTTTAAGTACTTTAAACTATGAGTAGCTTGTATCTTGGCAAGATTCAGTTTTAAAGTAGCATCCCCATCACTGGAAGCTAGACTACAGTCGTGCATGTTGTGTCTTTAACTTGACGAGAGACTGAGAGGAAAATGCCCAAGAGATCCGGCCCTGTGCAATTACCTTAAACTGGGGTGTTCATGTGGGAGGACAGGCCTCGATATTGGATTCCACCCTGGTATCAGCAGCACCCTTGCATAAATCTATGAGAATTTAGAGTGGCTCTGCTGGTCCTGAGGCATTTCCTGCAGCCACTGTGTCTGCGTGCAAACACAAAACCCTCTAAACCGCCGTGCAGACCTATAGTTTCAGGAGTTCAGTAAACTGCAAGCCTGTAGAGATCTTTACCTGACTCCTCAGTTGGATATTGCAAGAGATGATGGAATGATGATTTAAAGAATTTTCAATACACCTTAGGCTCACTCAGCAGCATTTGTGACATGGTGTTGATTACTACGGTAATTTATTTCTTGTTCCTTAATTTGTAAGAACCATCTCAATGGCAGTTGTTTGGCTGGCACATGACCTACATGATTAATATTAGGAATTTAATCGTTTTAGCTTTTGTGAGAAGCTTTTGAATTTTGCCAGTGTTCAGAATGTGGAGAACGTAATTTATATGATAATATATTAAATCAGTTTAACAAGGTTATTTACACTGCGCTCTCTCGTCTCGTATAATACATCTTTTTAATTACTTAAAAAAATTCAGTTGTGATTCGTGCTCAAAAATCAGAAATTTTTATTTTATTTTACCCTTGTTGATTTGTGCTTAATAGGTGAAAGTGTAGTAATTATGATGAAATTTCTCAAATGACATAATTGCGGGTAGAATTTTTGAGGATAAATAATTGTGATTATCAGTAACTATTATGCAGTGTAACATGATCATTAAATCGTTTTCAACCAAAACCATAAAACTTTATGAATTTTGCCCATTTTACATGACAACAGTGTTTTAGTGGCCTGAAAATGCTAATTTTTGAAAATGGGTTTAGAAGTCCAAGTTTTTGAAAATAATAAGTTATCGTCTCAGGGTAAACTAAACACTCAATTACACTACAATTACATTACAAAAGCGGTTTTCTATGTTTCACTATGTGTAGTTACTGCATTTTGGCTTTATAGGTTTGTATAATATAATGAAAACAATATTTTGTCGGAATGTACAGCTACATTGAAGTTGCCAATGGAGAAGAAGGCTCTTTGCCTAACAGCATCTACCAGTAGGCTAACAAGCAAAAATTGCATTTACAGTATTGGACTTACTATGGAATTTTCTCTGAAATTTTCTAATTCTTTGTCATTTTATTGTGGTGGTCTTTTCCTTTTGTCTGTAAAGGTCGAAAATTTCTACACAAATCTTATGTTAACACTTAAGTAAGTGTAAACATAATGTTGAGGTTTTACAAACTAAGGGATGTGAAGCGTGAATTCTTTTCTGCCACAAATGCTGTCCAAAAAGCTTACTTGAGATTGCTGTAAGACCTCAGATCAGGCATCTATCTTATCATTTCACATGATTTAGGACACAACGTGCTTTTAAATGTTTTTTTTGCTGTATTGATTACCATTTGTATAACCACAGTTTTACTACAAATGCTATGGTTAAACTATGGTTAGTTTAGAAAAAACATGGTTAATTTGTGGTTACCATGGATTAACTATAGTAGTCATGGTTTTTGTGACTTCATTTGTAGTAAAAACCATGGTTAATATTTCGTAAGGTTTGATATCTGATATCATCAAGTTTGATCTGTCCCAATGGCTGGGCTCAAATGAAAGTAAAAGCAACGCTTTTACAAACATAATGTTCCACCTCTTGCCATTAAACCAACCAGATTACCAACACAAAAGCTTTAGGCTGTAGTCCACAAGAAATTTCAAACAGCTCTGCTTTATCAGGTCTGGAATATTAGGCTTTTCTCCACAATCCTCCTTTAGTCAGAATAAAGAACGAGACAGTTGTAATGATGCTAAAATGTTATATTATGATTGTTGCGGCCAAAGGTACTGGCTCACCATACTTCATAAATTGAGATCTCTGCATTGCTTCAGTCATTTTATTGAAACCAAAAATGGAAAAACAATCCTTTGAATGCCTCAGCAGTTTTCGCCGTGCATCACACAGCATACGGCTTATATCAACTGCGCTTTTGTTTTGCGTGTGCAGCGTTGGCTATTTCTTTGTAAAGATTTAATTGGTCTCATTGTGGAGTTTTACAGACTTGGAGAACATGCCAGCATTTTTTTTATTCTTCTTTTTCTATAAACACATTTCTGAGGCTCTTTTTGAATTTATGTTAAATTGGGGGTGTTCAAGGGCGCAGGTCTGTGTGCTTTGGTTCCTGTCCCAGTAATTACAGTGTTGTTCTTTATGTAATTGGTGGTTTTTGAGTGATTGATTTGATTTGTATTGTGGCATGTTTTGGCATTTGCTTGCAATGCTGAATGATATGAATTACTTGAAATAATATGAGTAATAGTTATCTGAGTTCTGGTTTGTATTTCAACAGCATGAATATATTTGTAGAGATGATACGCATGTGATACGGCCATTAAAATGCATGAATTTACAACCTCGTCCTTGACATTGCAAATGGAATATTTCAAACCTTGTCAATGAACATATTTTCTTGTTTTTCCTGTGTGCTTTTTGTGTAACCCATCATTTTCTCTTTTCTTATCAAGCATGGTGTCATAACCACAGAGGACGAGCAATATTTAATAGAGCCATTAAAAAATATATCCAGAAATTTCAGTGATGTCAACCACGATGGACAACCACATGTTATTTATAAAAAGGCTTCCATTCCTTTTCTGCAAGAGCCAAGCGAGGAGTTCAGCTGTGGTGTTTCAGGTTGGTAAACCTCCATTTGGCCACATTGTGACATAAACAGCTATAGATAGCAGTTTAGGAAATGATGGTCAGTGGTTCAGGTTTGGCTGGAAGTCTCTGCAAACAGCTTCGGCATAAACGTTGAGTTAAGATCTACTTCAGCTAAACCTCATTTTACTATCAATTGAACTGCTAATGAATCACTTTTTGATGAAAATGTGAACCATTTTTGTTTTCCATAGACCTCACAATAAACAGGACACCTCGCTACGATACCAATCCTGAAGCAAACACACCTTACCCGGCCACGGACAGCAACAGCTCGATGGGTGGCCACCGCCAGCGGCGTTCTGTCAGCTCTGAACGCTTTGTGGAGACCCTAGTGGTGGCGGACAAAATGATGGTTGGCTACCATGGTCGCAAAGACATCGAGCACTACATTAATTACAGTGTTGTTCTTTATGTAATTGGTGGTTTTTGAGTGATTTATCTCATTGATTTGTATTGTGGCGTGTTTTTGCATTTGCTTGCAATGCTGAATGATATGAATTGCTTGAAATAATATGAGTAATAGTTATCTACATTCTGGTATGTATTTTAACAGCATTAATATATTTGTAGAGATGATAAGCATGTGATACGGCCATTAAAATGCATGAATTTACAACCTCGTCCTTGACATTGCAAATGGAATATTTCAAACCTTGTCAATGAACATATTTTCTTGTTTTTCATATGTGCTTTTTGTGTAACCTACCATTTTCTCTTTTCTTATCAAGCATGGTGTCATAACCACAGAGGACGAGCAATATTTAATAGAGCCATTAAAAAATATATCCAGAAATTTCAGTGATGTCAACCACGAAGGACAACCACATGTTATTTATAAAAAGACTTCCATTCCTTCTCTGCAAGAGCCAAGCGAGGAGTTCAGCTGTGGTGTTTCAGGTTGGTAAACCTCCATTTGGCCACATTGTGGCATAAACAGCTATAGATAGCAGTTTAGGAAATGATGGTCAGTGGTTCAGGTTTGGCTGGAAGTCTCTGCAAACAGCCTCGGCATGAACGTTGAGTGAAGATCTACTCTAAAGTTCAGCTAAACCTCATTTTACTATCAATTGAACTGCTAATGAATCACTTTTTGATGATAACGTGAACCATTTTTGTTATCTTTCAGACCTCACAATAAACCGGACACCCAGCTACGATACCAATCCTGAAGCAAACCCACCTTACCCGGCCACGGACGGCGACAGCTCGATGGGTGGCCACCGCCAGCGACGTTCTGTCAGCTCTGAACGCTTTGTGGAGACCCTAGTGGTGGCAGACAAAATGATGGTTGGCTACCATGGTCGCAAAGACATCGAGCACTACATCCTGTCCGTAATGAATATTGTAAGTTTGGTCCTGCTTTTCTCATGTGTATTTGTCTCCAATGTGCGTTTTATTCCCTTTTAAGGGTACGTGAGAAGAACTCGAACAGCATTTGGCTGACTTTGTGTCTTTTCTTCTTTTCTGGAGGTCAGGTTGCCAAACTTTACCGTGATGCCAGTCTTGGAAACGTTGTGAACATTATTGTAACCCGACTGATTGTTCTGACAGAAGATCAGGTGAGTGTTGCAGAAGTCGATCGTTGACCCAAAAATGACAATTCTGTCATTGCTTACTCAACCTCATGTCGTTCCAAACCTGTATGACTTACTCTCTTCTTTGAAACACAAAAGAAGATATTTTGAAGAATGTTCATGGTCTTTCGGACCCCATTAGCTTTTACTGTAAGGACGAAAAACAATGAGACTTCATTTTTGTGTATTACAGAAGAAAGAAAGTCATACACATTTAGAATGGCATGAGGATGAGTAAACAATGAAGAGTTTTCATTTTTGGGTGAACTATCCCTTTAATGGTGCAATTCTTCAAGAATAAACAGTTTATAGTGTACAGCTGCATTTTGGTTTTGCTAAAGGTCAATGTATTTCGATAGTACTTCTTGAGGCTAGACTAGTGTGATATTTTTCCCTAGTCTCACGCACATGCACACTATTCATCGTTCTTGTCTTTCGTCTGCATTAGCATTAAATGAGTGTGAGCTCAGAGTATTTTTAGAAGCTTAGAAGCACACCTCACGGTAGTCTGCTGTTTTATTGCCCCGAAAAAGACAGATGGAATCATGAATCGTCTGACCACTTTTAAAGATAAAAGTTATTCGAACAGATATGCCTAGACATTGTCCCTGAGGGAAACTTTGTAAAAGATTTTACGTTAATGTCTTTAATGAGAGAGCTAGGGCGTTTGTCTATGTTTTTTTGTTCTTGGAAGAGTCCAATAACTCTTCCCAGACTGGGAAACCAACCAAAAGATCCAACTAGGTCTAAGATGATTTCATAAGAGCTACAATTCACATTGTACCAGCCAAATAACATATAATATATTAAATAAAATATATACACAACACGCCGAAGCATCCTTTGGCGTATTGTGACTTGTCAACTTGCTGTGGATCAGATTTTGTTGCATTGATACGTTGCATTGGTTTTTTATGTTGCAGCCCAACTTGGAGATAAACCACCATGCAGACAAATCTCTAGACAGCTTCTGTAAATGGCAGAAATCCATTCTTTCCCATCAGGGAGATGGAAACAGTATCCCAGAGAACGGGATCGCCCATCACGACAATGCTGTTCTCATTACCAGGTCGGTTACTATTATTTCCATCTGATTTCTGGAGTACTGCGTGGTTGAGGTTGGGGATATGGTTAGGATTGGGTTTGTTTGAAAGGAATGTTGTTTCAGGGCCAAGATGTTGATTCAGGAACACATCCCACTTGGTCACCAACACGTCATTTGTTCAAAATCATGATTGACGACAACTAAACTTTACTTTAAGGACCAATTCTCACTATTAACTAGCATGCATATCACTAGCACATTGGGTTTTTATTAGTAGTTATAAAGCACATATTAATGCCTTATTCTGCATGACCATATTTGAGATCCCTAATCCTACCCCATACCTAAACTTATATGGTTAGGATTGGGTTTGTTTGAAAGGAATGTTGTTTCAGGGCCAAGATGTTGATTCAGGAACACATCCCACTTGGTCACCAACACGTCATTTGTTCAAAATCATGATTGACGACAACTAAACTTTACTTTAAGGACCAATTCTCACTATTAACTAGCATGCATATCACTAGCACATTGGGTTTTTATTAGTAGTTATAAAGCACATATTAATGCCTTATTCTGCATGACCATATTTGAGATCCCTAATCCTACCCCATACCTAAACTTAACAGCTACCTTAGTAACTATTAATAAGCAGCAAATTAGGAGTTTATTGAGACAAAAGTTGTAGTTAATAGTTAGTTAATAGTGAGAATGGGACCTTAAAATAAAGTAGAGTATATATATATTCAATGCTTAATCCACAACCTAAAGAATGTTAGCTAATACATGTTAGCTGTCTGAAAGTGCAAATACTTCATTTTCACACCTCACTTTATAAAATTGTCACATTTCCTATTCAGTCTGACTATAACATTAGTTAACTAGTTAAGAACATCTGTTTAAACTACCAACATCACCTTGAATTGTTACAGTTGCTTTGATATTTTTGATATTTTGACAGCGTAACCCAGCAAACTAAACGTGTCTTGTTGAAAATTGTTTTTATTGACTTGAGGTCATCTTTTTAATTTCCTAAGCTAAATTTTTCTTTGAGTCAGTCTGTGTTTGTTAAATACATACCCTTCTGCAATCCCTGCCTTAATTCATTCTATTTATCCAGGAGCTCAAAACGTCTTGCAGTAGTTGTTTCAGTGATTAGTTTGTGGGCGATCAATCAGCTAAACTGCGGACAGCTCTGTGATTTTACATTTTTTACTAACTTCCTCAATTTAGCTCGATTAGAGAAGACAGGCTTGTTTTAGGGTTGGTTGACATTTTGGCATTTAAGTTTGACAGTTTGAACTGGAAGCATATATTGGGTGGGTCGTTTACAACTGAGACTAAACTGGTTATTAATGTCATTGTTAATTGGTGTTCACTGAGGCATGACTGTGTGGTTTGGACAGGTGCAAGCCTTGACACCGTCAGCCGATACTGTAGACGTCACTCCTTGAGCAGAGGTTATTGGATATTTCTGTTTATACACATAATTTGTTTGACTTCTTAGTGTTTTGCTAAACATGTGGAGCCCAAACAACTTTTCGAATTGACTGAAATGGGCGGTGCGTCTGATGCTAGTCTACAGAAAGTTTCATTTTAAGTTTATTTCTTCAGACCAGACACAAATCTGCCAAAGTAAGCCAGGCGGTAAACAACTAGCCGTTGTCCTGCTAATTTCTGGCAGACTGGTTTTGAATATGGCAAACAAGCCCCGCTAGTTTGCCGCTATAAATGGATTTCATTCTGAATTAAGTGCAGCTTTAAACTTTAGTCAGAGAATTTTCCTTTCAGAAAGACAGGGAAACATTTGTGTAATGCTAAATTTGTTGGAGGAATTGACATTTCATATTTCAGTTAAATATAAATGACTCCAAAGCTCATATTGTATTCTTTGGATCCACAGCTGTTGTTTTAAGAGATCCGTTCTGATTGTTTGAGGCTTTACTCAAGAAACGAACAATAGTCAAACGGTGGATAGCTATTATATCCCAAGCCAAAAATGTTCATTAGCTCTTAAGGCGGTGTGTGGAACCTGTATATAGAGACATGCAGAGTTTTTGGCGTCTCCAAATCAAATTTATTTAGG